CAGTGATGGTAACCGGTAACCTAAGCCCTGGGACTTGGAGTGGTGAACCACATAATGTGTAACAGCATTGAAACTGAAATGGTTGGACGTGTTCAGTACTAATAATTGTCTTACGTTCCCTGTCCTTTTTAGGCGCACAATGAGTGAATACGGTAAACACTAACAACGAGCAAACAGAAGAGTCAAGAACTACATGAGAACTCATAATCGATACGAACCTTGTGTACTCCCCCTCCTCCGATACAGTTTGTACATTACATTTTGTCATTCGTTTGGTGCCTCAATAAACGTTCGTGTGCGACAGGCGTGTTCTCCCTGTGTGAGCGTGTCTGGCGATCGACTGTCTATTGCTATTATTTCAGAGCGACCCTGCCGGCCTTCATACGTGCTGCGTGAGTTCCACATCTGGTGTCAGAGGTGGGATTCGAACCCACTTCACAAATAGGTCAGGCGTGGTATAGAACCGGGCGACAGAAAAGCTGCCTACATAAAATTGCACGATTCCAGACGTGGATCCGTGTTTCGTAACATCTACTTGCTAGTAAACGCTTAGGATGGGCGGGGAAGATTTTCTCGGGCATACGCACATCAATCCTGTGTAATTCCTTTGCCACATTGAACGAGACAGTTTATGCATAAATTTCAATACATCACTGGCTGTAGGTACTACCTAAACGTTTCACAGATAGCGTTTGCTCTGAGAAGAAAAGAAAACAGTATGGACAGATGAAGCCGATATATTTCGCCAGTATAATTCACTTACCTAGCCTCGTCGGGAGATGCTTCATCAACCGGTTCCTGCAATGAGCATGCAAAAGAGAGTAACCACTCCACCAATCGAGGATCGTAGATACCCTGATCGGACACAAGTAGCGAAATCGCTTCCAACATTTGCGATTCGAATGAATTTTTCACTTCACTGAGGGCGATGCCGGCGGAGTGGGGAAAAAATGCATCTTAAAAACGAATATAACGGTACTTTTAATATAATGAGCGTGCTTTTGAAGACAAGCAACTTACCGTTAAGAATTCCTTCATTGAGCTTTACACAACGCATAATCCATGAAGATTAAACAGGCATAATTTTTAATATGTTGTGCCTATTAATAAAAACATCCAAATGAACTGCGTCAGCCTATTGAATAAATTAACAATACTTTATGCAAAAACTAACAAAATTAATTGAGGGTTTCCAAAAGCATCTCAAAATCTAACGACGGACAATACCAAGAAAGTTAATTATTTACTTATAAGTACTCTCAAACCAACACCAAGACCATTAAAAACTGTTTGATCCCGTCTCTCAGTTGTCAAATACTCTCAAATCATGTGAAACCTGTACGGAATCATGTTGACATTTCTCTGATGGTTGGATTGGCTAATCACACATGTCCATGGCTAACTGGGATGCTTATGCAGAACCAAGACAACTGTAGCTGCACTGAAGTAGAAACACTTCGAAACAACCAGAGTTTCCTAACAGTATCTAGGAAACGGCGAACATATGGTGAACCGATCGAAGTATGACCCGAAGCATAAACTGACTTGGATAGATACAACTGTTGTATGGGATATATTCAACTTTTTGTGATATATTTTTTACTTACCGTCAAAATGACGGCAGATACAAAGGGAAAAGGAAAAAGTTTGAAAGTATAATGTCAGAGTCATATAACAAAACGCGCTCTCGCCCGCTAGCTCTTGTGTTCTTTTATTATATGTGTGTATTGGTAAACCTACTCACTCCGTGTGTGCAACCAGTTGTTGAGCAGTGGCCGCGAGAGCAGCACAGTTATAAGTGTCTTTCGATGCAACCAGATGAAGGAAACGCGAATCTGCACACGTGAGTATCCGACTCGTAGTCAAACTCTCCTCGTTGAAAGATTGCAGCTGAGCCTCTATTCGCATCAGTTTCAAATAAGCTGTAAACCAAACAGGGAGATTAGGTTTTTTTCAATTTTCTGGAACTGCTTTAAAGATTGAAGTACTCATGATTAAGATGCACACTATATGTTTGTCTCACACAGTTCAGTTTAGTTCAGTTTGTACAACCATTAACCATGCACTATCATGCACCGGTCTTGGTTGCGGTCTTTTGGCTGCCCATTTGGATGAACATTAAGAGAAACACAGGAAAGGTTGAAAGTAGGACCAAAGAGAAAATTTGCAATTTCAGTGGACTAATGCCGCAGAGAGATTGAGAGGATGCACGAACGCCACTGTTCACGACACTCGACCGTATCACTCAGTGTTTCTACCCATCAGTGACCGTGATCTCGGGGTCCCCAGCCAGGGAGCCTAACGGGACCTATGTGACCCAGACTCCTGGTCAGGGTTTTCATACCCTCATGCCAGGTCTCAGTTTGGCCACCCTTGACTTTCTTCTACCCACTACTTGCCTCAGCGAACATCGCTCGCCGTGGCAACCTATCTGGTGACATGCGTAACACATGTCCCAGCCAACGTAATCTATGGAGGGCGACCACGAGGGCGACCGCAATTACCTAAAACTCAGCACTTAACCTCAGCATTGCTCGTCCAGTTACGCCACCAAACTCGTGCAGTGCTGCGTAGATGGCGGTGTTCAAACACCAATAGTCTATCCTTGTCCTGTTTTCTCAATGGCCAACTTTCCGCTCCATATAGCAGAACTGGCCGAACTGTCGCGGCATACACTCGACCCTTCACAGACAAACGAATGTCGTAACGGCGCTACATATGTCTCAAGTTGGCAAATTCCAAACGAGCAGACACTTCATCTGTGATGTGTCCACCGGGTGATATGTAGCTGTCTAAATAACAAAACTTATCCACTTGCTCTATTACTCCTCCACTTAAAGTGAGGCTCGGTGCTGAACTGACCATGTCTGGTAGTAACATTTTACAATTTGAAGGTACAAAACGCATACCGAATAGGAAGGCTACACAGTTCCATAAGAAAAAGTGAAGCAGCAGTTCATAGCAAATTTATCGTAGAAATGATGTAGATACAAGCATGGATATGATGGGTGGGGGTTGCTCAATTAAAATATTCGAGCGAACTATTTACAACGTATTGATCTATGCTTCAAGGAAGGAACGTTCCTTAAACTACAAATGAATACTTAAGCCAAAATAAATTATATGAAATGAAAACAATTTTATTGATTCCTAAATGGTGATATCAATGTTAACTAGGGGGTTCATAAGTTGTTGATCTGCTGTAAATCACCTCCTTTTCTAAAATAAACATTTCAAGTTATCATGCCAAGTACACAATTAGCAGGTCCTCACAGCGACACCATTCTCCACAGTAATAAAACTTTTTGCAATCATAAAATAAATCCGATAACTATTTGGAAGTCCTCCAGCTGACAACAGCTTTGGGGTAGTAGTCATAGACCGAGAGTTATACATTGAGAAAATGTCACCTATTCTACTGAACGTTTCGAAATTTCGAAACTGAACTGAAACCTAATAAACTGACAGCAATAGATAAACGGGTTGCCAAAGAGTTGCAAACACCGCTGGAAGATGCATTGATCAGTGATATCAATTTCCAGTCTCTCAAATTGACTCGCAGCAATAAACCTCGAGTGTACGGACTTCCTAAGACATATAAACCAGGAATCCCACTCAAACCTATTCTATCTGTAATCAAGTCTTCATAACACAAGTTTTCGAAATGATTGGTACAGTTGTTGAAACCAGTTCGAGATCTCACGTCTAAATATAACGTTAAGGACAGTTTCCAACTAGTTGAACTAATAGAGGATTTGAAAATCAAAAATTAATTTCATGGATACTGAATCAATATTGAATAACATGGCACTGTAGGAGACAATATAAAAACACTGCAGTTTATCGAGCAGCATAACTTAAGCTTTGGCATACCCAGGTATGAACTGTGATATCTCCTTCTCCTACGTACAACAAATGCCAGCTTCGGTTTCAAAGAAAAAGCAAACCAACAAATAGACGGTGTGTCCATGGAAAGTCCCTTGGGTCATGCCTACTCAGCACTAAGTTGGAAAACGCGGTACCACATTCCTTAGACCAGCTTATATTATTTAAAAGATATGTTGATTATATACTCATCATAGGTTAAGACCGACAACAAATAACTTCTTCCGTTCCAAGTCATGAATTGGTTACCAGATAATATATATTTCTTTTGGAGAAGAACAAGACGATCGTCTCCTATATGTAAACATTCTAATGAGGAGGTGAGACAGAACGATTCGCCGGACTATTTTTATTACTTTTTTTTATCAATATTAAGTGTGATGAATAACAGACGGAGTAACCCCCATAGTCTCGAGGACCTGCTGTTCAGCGGTGGAAACTGGGAACCTAAGCCCCGGAACTTGGAGTGAAGAACCACATAAGGCCCTGATAGGTTAGGTTATGCGTGGCATTGAACCGGACGACAGCAGAGCTAGCTACTACCAAAGTTGGATGGCGGGGTTCGAACCTAGGACCACAGGGTCCAAAGCACGCTGGTGACAGCGACTAAACCACTGCGCCACCATCACTGTATACAGTAAGAGCACATAGACGGGCCAATGTCTTCATTTCCGTAGTTTGGTAATGATCGCGGTATGGTAAAAACGCTATTCAATAGAGCACGCAGTATTAGCACCGGGGATGGATTACAAGCAGAGTCAGACCAATCCCAATCAATCCTTGTCAAGAACGGTTANTAATTTTAATAAGAATTCGATGACGAATCTTGGTCCGAACTCGGCCAGCCGATTGAGGATCATTCATGCTAACACTAACACCCGAGCTGCTTCGGTTCGCGGAGTCATTTGCAATTTTAGAAGAGGAAAACCTGCCTATATGGCAGAACTGCAGTCACACTATCACTACCCTGATAGTGATAGAAAAACGTGTGATCATCGATCACTGTCCAACGACGTGAGGTGTTGTTTTATGCCACATTGTGCCAGTTGAGATGCAGCAAAATTTCCTTGGCCATAAATCGTACAATACAATTTTATTGTGCTGTCTCTCTTCAAGTTTATATTGAGGAAAAATGTTTCATAGAACAAAAATTGTATTAACCTTTGATAGCAAAGTTTCTCGCCTGGGTACAATACTTACCGAATGCGTTTTGCAAACCGTTAAATTGCTCCTGCGAATCTCCGCGGTCCAAACTGGGCACGAATGAACCCAGCGGGCACGTTTTGTGGTCCGTTATCTCAGTGGCAGACAACTCTTTCATACCCTCAGTAAGACGAGTCTCAACTGAGCGCATTAGGTTCAGCAAACTGTCGGCCCATCGTTTTGCACTGACCGGAAGAACACGTCTTTTTTGGGCCAAATTCATTCCGAGGTAGGCTAGCTGCAGTAGATCCCGGTGTGTGAGTTGGTATCGCTGATGTGAAAGCAAAAGTAATTTATGATACAGTTTTCTTAGCAATACGGATCAGAGACCAGCCGATTTCATTGTCAACCAACAACAATAACCGTATTGAAGATATTATTATCAAAAACGTACGATTGACGATTTTCCTGTTGTCAATTTCATGCAAATCAATGCATATGGAAAGTGGGACTTGAGAAGGGTTTTAATTTATCAAACGTTTTGTACGGACTGCACAACGACAAACCAATAACTTTACTCTTGTAATTAATTTTTATGAAGAACTTTTGAGACATCAATTTGGTAGTAATTAAACACACAGGTTCATACGCGATTATATTTAGAAAGAAAGTTTCATTAGATTTATGCAATCGTTTGTTTATTCGTTCATCGGGAACGGTCAATTTGGTGTTCAGTTGCTCGCTGAATCGATCGTGCACGTTTCTTCGTTAGTCGAGGTGACATTTTCAAGCAGCGATTGAGTGTGAGCTTACGGGCTGACGGGGTGAGCAACGCTAAGTGGTCTATTCTCCATCGACCTGTTCCGCGAGAGAGCAAAGTGGACACCAATAATCAGGGGGGCTGATGTTAATTGGATGTTACGGATGATCTGATGTGATTTGCAATTTGACCCCGTGTTCTTCACATTGATTAATCCGGATGACATATGGGTGGAGCGCGCACGACCTTGATGACCTTGATGAACTAGTCAACTGAGTTTGACAATAAAAGTCATGCGTCGAGAAATTCTCGGGAATAATATATGTGGATTTGGGCAACAACTTGGATTTTCTCAAAATCGACAGATGGCCGATTGTGACAGTTCACACAAAAAACTTATTCATGGTTTTTTTTTTGATTAGACATCTCCTTCCTGCACTCACACGAGCTTAGTGTAATAGATTTGAAATGCAATGGAATTTTGTTTGTGATGACCGATAAAGAGCCGTCTCTAAAACCCTCAGTCAGTACGATCGGTGATGGGTGTGTCGGGTTGCGACCGGTCATCCTTCCCTTGCACCTCCTGTTATGATATTTTACTATGAAGCGTCTCAAACAGCCTGTGCTGAGGAACCCTATTTACCGCCTTTCCGTTTCTGGGGTGTTTTCCCAGCATAGTGGTGAGACGAATTGTAAACGTCCTGGGCTATAACTGGGTCGGTGAACCACCGCCAGTGCATCTGAGTTGGTTGGCCAAAAACCCCAATTTCAAACCAATCGGGAAGGTAAATACTAACCACACACCTTCCTGATTGTATCCGTAGTCACCAACTTGAACGGGTTTTCAGGTGTATTGGACACCTTCGATGTTTAATCCAATCCAACAGACGTATGTTCAAATGAACTGGATAGGGATGTCAATGGGTGGCGGTTTACATACAGCACCGCGCTGGCGGATCAAGCTTTGACTAACCGCAAGATACAGTTGGGAGTCCTCAATAAAATTCACCTGCTTCGACTTGGGCAACCCGATAGTACTTCGCCCACTACGGAGCACTCCAAAGCACAATTTAGCTGGCCACCAGCGTCAGCTTCCCACGCAGCTATTCCGGTACACGTCCCATAGTCTGTCTCAAAAGACCCACCTTCTGAGGAGGAAATCTGGAAGGAGATCCAAGCCTTGGGAAACCAGAAAGTATCGGGTTCCGAATCCTTCCCCCAACTTTATTGAAAGATGGTAAAATAAAGCTTTCTAGAAAACTACAGGTTCTGTCCTTTAAAGTGTGGAACACTGAGCAGGTCTCCTCCTCGTGGGGGACATCTATCGTTGTCCTGTTCGCGCAGTGACTGCGCCAATCATAGGGGTATAAGCCCGATCCCGATAGCCTCAAAGCTGGTGGCGTCCGTCACTCTCCGCCGGTATATATATATATATTTATATATATATATACTCCGCCCACTAGCAAATCACGAACCCTTTACTTTGTTTTAAAGATCTTGAATAATTTGGCAATGTTTGAAATTAAACACGTGTCCTGGGCGGGACTTGAACGGCGAACCTCCGGCTTGAGAGTTGACACTGTTACCCCTGAGTCACACGTCCACTGGTCAGCATATTGAAAGTGTGCCTATATACAGACTAAACATTTCATGTTTGTTGTATTGTTCCGGCTAATTCACAGAGCCAATGGTTTGCTTATAATAGCTCTGGTGTCTGTGGTTTAGCATATAAAATACAAAATAATTGTTTCATTGATGTTTTATAGCTTGTTTATCTCAAACTAACTAACACTGAAGATGCAGTCTAAATATTCTTAAAAGATGTTCCTTATTTTAGTCCGTCTTCGCAAAGCATATAGATACACATTTTGGCTTACAAATCGAACTTTTTTTAACTTATTCTTTTTTAAGGCCATGGAAATCAAACAAAAATCAAGTTAGATAATAAGTGCGATTGAGTTCCTACTCAGAAAGATTTTCATTCAAATGCTTAGTACATGGATTTATTATCAACTTCATAATTTTAAATATGATTATGAAATATACGTTAGAAAAATCAAACCCCGATGACTCACGCGCAAGAACACCTTGGCCAGTTCGAACAGAATACTGATCGCCTCCATTTCGTATTCCAAAAAATACAACAGTTCAGCACAAATCCAAACCAGCGATTCCAAGGCGTTTGGAGTTTCATATTCTGCAATAAAATGAGTCTTATGACTGTCGTAGCAATGAGTGGTCAACTACACAGTGAACATTCCCTGACTACATCGACACCAGATTAGTCAACTAGTTTAAAGCCCTGTGTATTGATTAATACCGACTGGGCCTTTTAGATAATCTTGACAAGATATTGAAAATCGGTTCTCGTAGCTCGGGTGAACTGAATTCCATTTCGCCTGTTCGCCGAGCTTGGTAATTTGTTTGCAAACGTTTCATCACCAGCCGAGGTGATATCATCAGTGACATCATCATTAAATGGTTAGTTCCCTTCGGATTTCCAGCGAAATTCCTCGACTGCTGTGGTTCATGGTTTCAATCGTCCGATTTAATGTCCAGAGTACAGTTTCCCTGGTTCTAATATGCGCATGTACTGACGTAGCTAGATAATGGTACACGCGATAAGTATATCTTTGTTTTAAGTATCTGCAGCCAATCTATGACATAAATGTAGGTGTTTATAACAAAAATTGAATCATCGTGCAAAGTCAAAACAGATGAGAACGCGAATTTCACCCATATTCGCTAAAACAGTCTCATTTCTATCATAAATATGAACAACTTATGATCGTAGTTTATATTCTTTATCAGATCAGTCCAGTGTAACTTTGTTGACTCAGTACCGTGAAGAACACTGGTGTATCCTGAATCTTTGATCAGATAAAAGATTTTCCCGTATTCACAATTCTCTATATGATCTCATATCGAACGAAAGTTCATTTCCCACTCAAATCGATTCCGGTAAAAAGGAACACATTTTGGAATCTGTTTCTTCCATTTTTAGGATCGACAGCAGTACACACCTTCGACTCGAGATAAGATGAATGCACCAGAAACAAAACTATACACACAATCGTATAGTTCTCTTCCTAGAGTGGGTTTCACTTAATGATATCTTTGAACGCACCAGACGTTGGAGGACAGTGACCAGCATTGATTTTACATCACCCTACCAATAACAATGAGGATGTGATGTTACAGTGATTACTGTATTCTACTAAGTATTCACTCGACCTTGTAGTGTCAACAATTTAGTTTTTCTGTTGGAATTCAATCTTTGCGAAGAATGACAACGCAATACCACTTCAAGACCCTCCCCTACCTTCAAAACAAGTCACACCCGTCATCTGGGAAGGCGTTCAGCAGTTTTGACGCATGAATGATGGAAAGGTTTCCTATAAATGCTCGTGGAGATAGTAGCCTTTAATGATACAATATGAATCGTAGTTTATGAAACAGCTTCGTTAAGGCCAAGTAGAAGATCAGGAATGAAGCACACTGCCGAAGGTATTAGCAACGCTTACCTTGTATTTTTTTGAACTTTCTCAAATTTTCTTCGCAAGTTGGCTAAGAGAAAGGGAAGAAAGGTTTATATTGTTTATTTCCAACAGAACACATTATCGAACAAGTAAAATATACTATTAAGAATAATTCTGTACCTTCTTGTTAGTTATTCAGGGTCCGATTGTTTTGTCAGATTCAAGGAAAAGGACTAGGGCCGATTATAGGCTTTTCGGTGACACAAAATGTGAAGAGTACGGGAGGCAGTGGCAGTGAAGGGTTTCGAATACACAACTGTGATGGTGACGTAAACTTATGTTACTTTACCTCGATCCATGGTTGTGTATTTGTGTAACTGGGATACATTGGAACCAAATCATTTCATCATCGTGTACACCTAAAGTTCATTTGTCCGTCTAGATGCCTTCAAGTTAACAATGATTGATCACTCCCAGCAATATAACCTTCCTGTGTGCAGCAACGTGAGCAGTTTCCCGTTAACTGGCCAGTTAATTGTTGTCAGGATTTTATTTTGGAAGCTCAGAAAATCAGTAGTTTATGGAGCGATGAGGCTAGAGTAATAGGGATCTATCCGATTGTTCCCATAACATTCTGTTCCCTTCAGTTGATGTCATCCCTTTTCATTCACTCCCAGCATGTGCATCTTATTGGACAGCGATCTTAGTCTTATTTTCGTCATGATTAGAACACTTGAACTAGAAAGATATGAAAGGACACACTTCAACAGATTCTGCCGCCCCTCACATGGCGAACAGCTTCTGCGGATTAGAGCACACCAATTGTGGTCTTTTGGTAGTATAAATAGTTTGACTGTGTCACAGATAACAGTCAATGATGAACCTAGAAACACTATGAATTTCCCAAAGCAATCCAAATGTTTTTTCACGTGTTTGGCAGCTAAGCATGAAACCCGATTTTACGCCGCTTCAACAAGTCATGTGCATGCAAAAAGTGCTACTTGCGTACATTACGAGTAGTAACTCACTATATTAACACTATCCATCTGCAGATTTGATTTTTCAAGATGGAATTCTTTTGATGACATAGAAAATTACAGTAATTCATATTGTCTTTCATTCACCATTTTGTTCGCCCGTTTTGCTCTTTGATCCGTCGTAGTTTTCCATTTCCACCACCTGAAATACTGCATAAATTGACATTCTGACTTCCCTCATTTTCATTTTTTGAATTTACTTACGTAAATATTCGGTAAGCAGATCACTCTAACGGTTATTAAAGACTATATTAAACAAATGTTTAACAAACATGAGTTTAATATTCAGGTAGTAGAAAAATCTCCAGAACCGTGGAGACCTATTCCGAGGGAAGAATAATGGGCAGTTTAGGCCATAGGAGTGGAATGGATGAACTTTACAAAGCTCATTCAAATAAACGGTATACTTTAAGGATGTCACTGAGGCTGCATGATACATATCCACCTGGTTGTAGGTAGCAATCGTTCTCCGCTATTTGCGCTATAAGTATAAATTAATGTATCGCTTAGTGCTGGATTCACTTAGACACAGCATATAAATTATAACCCTGGAATAATTGCAATGATTCGATGAGTTGGGCTAATTTTCAACCAATTCACTGAGATTCAAATGAGAATGCTATGGGAAAATCAACATCTTTGTACAGGCAAAATACATCGGTCGTATAGTTAATGACATTTTTTCTCACATACAACTTCTTGTAATCCATTCAGAAGAAAATAAATATCGACTACATTTTGAGCCTCATCTTGATCAAAGTTGAGGAGAAACAGCTATGGTCAAATTATTGAAAATTGGTGCCCGTAACTACGGGCAACTGAATTCCATTTCGCCTGTTCGCCGAGTTTGGTAATTTTGTTTCCCAACATTTTATGAACAGTCAATGGGGCATCTTCAGTACTCGTGAAATGGGTTGTACCCGTTCGTTTATATAATTGTCCTTCTCCACTTACTATTTTAGACCCTTGTTCTCACGGAAATTACTTTCAAAATCGAAGGATATAACGATGAAGAAAGACAACAATGCAATGTAATATGCAAAATAAACTGCAAAAAACACCCCCAAAAAGTATCGGAAAGACTGGAAGTGAACTATCGGCAAGAAACCGTGAACATCAATTGGCACTCAGGAGACATGACCCACTATCGTTGATTTCCCTCCACGAATCTAAAGAAGAACATCAGTCTGATTTCGAATGGGTGTAAAATCATCGAACAAGCCCGGTCAAACACGTCAGAGAATTTCTCCAAGCTTGATGCTCTTCAGTCAACTCAATAAATAGACAGATCGAATTGGATTACGTGTACACGCCAATGCAACTCACGGATCAATTGGCGTCGTGGGTGAAGAATAACACATATAGACGAAGGGACACAGGCAGAACACTGCAACTTCACCAAACACGAAAAATATTGCCTCGGCCGGTGTTGAAACGTTTACAAACAAATTACCAGGCTCGGCGTGTCGAAACAGCTACATAATTTATTAATCATTGTCTGTGTTAACTAGAATTTAAAGGCTTTGATAACATACAACTCTGATGAAATATACTATATACTGCTAATAACACGAGACCCATGGATGGAACGGATCTCACTGAAAAAAATTGGGCGTCGTGCTCGTGATTATTGAGGAAATTAGCTTGTTATTTCATGTGAGTAATGGAGGATTTAGTTAAATTTCAAATGAGAATTCGTCGTGTATACAGCAAATGAGGCGTGAGCTGAAAAGCTCGGAAGCACTGAACAGTTGTTTCGACCTGGTTGGGTCTCATCAACAGTGCGAATCAATCGACCCAACTAGGAATCGAACCCCGGACTTCATGGGCAGAACGCAAGCATACTACCCACTACGCCACCGATTGGGTCGATGGATCCGCACTGTTGATGAGACTCAACCACGTCAAAACCGCTGTCCAGTGCTTCTGAGCTTTTCAGCTCACACGTCATTTGCTGTATATCCGACGAATTCCCATTTGAAATTAGCTTGTCTTAGCCACGACGAATGAAAACCAAAACACAAAGGCGTTGGTGACAACGTTTCGACCCACTTGGAAGACCTTTTTCAAGTCGTTTAATCGGTTAATCTCACGTTACAAGCAATTAAAAGGCGATGGGTTGATGACATCGTATAGAACTCGGATGTGATTCGAGCATGCATGTATGTGTATATGCATGTGTGTGTGTGTGTTGGTGATCGTTCAACAGGTGGTTGGGGCGAGTGAAATTGGTTTGACCTTTGGGTCAAAACATGTAAAATTAGTCGCTTGGCCTGTGGAAAAGGTTTTCCAAGAGGGTCGAAACGTTGTCACCAACACCTTTGTGTTTTGGTTTTCATTCGTCGTGGCTAAGACAAGCTAATTTTCTCAATGATATATACTGCGTTTGTAAAAATCACATAATCCACTTACGGTATCTCCCAGACCTTGTTTGTCAGAACCATCCAACCGAAACAGTCGAATAATATCACGTGCGATGGAGTGCAACTGAAGTTCGCTGATTCGTGAATACGCGTCTACTGGAGTGAGATGGTCCACCTCGGACTCCCAGACGCTATGATCTGAAATGGGCGTACAACTGGGTCTACTATCTGACCGTGAAACTGGAGACCGAAGTCCACGCAAATCATGACGACAACGCTCTAGTCGAACTGACACATTGTGAGCAAACTTCCAGTAGGTCACGATTAAATGCGCGTTGGGTATGGTTCCCAGGAAAGGCCGTGTTTTGAAATAAGGCCAACCGACACACAGTAACAATCTGATTCAGAAGGGAATAAATAATTACGGTTATTTAGGTGAAACCGTTTGATGCATTCTTCTGAAAATTCGTCGTCGGTTAGGAAAAGATATGAACGTAAGATAGTGAATAACCGTTTGTCTATAGAATTAGGAATAACCTTCGCAGCCTTCTAATTAACCAATCACGTCAATTTGTGTTCACTGCTCACCTAGACTACAAACAAATACATTTGACGATGGTACACACAGAAAGTACAATTCACCTTCAATTCAATTCAATTCACCTTGGATCACAAAGTAAATTGTTTAGCTGATTGAGCACTGGTTCAATTGCAGTGGATCCAGGAAAAACAGCTATCTTCAGTATGTGACTTGCCAGAATCTGTAACGCGAATTCTGCCTGGTAATATGCATCATTTCGGTCCACTGCCAAGGTAGCAGCCGCGCTCAGCAACGCACCGTGCCTAGTACTTGCACGTTCATCCAAATGGGATTCGGTACCTGTAAACGAAGCAGACTCAGTATGACTTTCTGAAAAAGTTGGTGATCTGGAAGGTGCCGTGACTGTAACGGAACTTTCTGGCTTTTTGGGTACCAGGCTGAAGGCCTCGGCAGTTTTGATGGAGTCGGAGGTATCTGTTGTGAGACTAATGCTCCCGATCTTCTTTCCAGTGGCAGTAGATAATCCTCTCATGCTCGAAACTCTTTTTTCCAGTTTCATTAGCACAGTAATTGACGTACCAACTTGCCAGAATGTGACTCGTGGAATCACACTCATGTCCGGCATGTCTTGTCTCAGTGATTGGGAACTGGAACAGCGATTCCATAGGCCAACTCGTCGAATCGTCAAACCGTTTGTAGTGAGAAGGTTTTGAAATTGTGCATCGGTAATCATCGTGTGCCACTGGAGTGCGCAACTCTCCAACGGAAGATGTACTCCCGTACCACCACCATCCCCTGACAAAAGTGCATAAAATGAATGTTCCGTGTGAGTAGTTTACCAAAATTGTAATCAAGGTCATTTTAACTATGACTTAGTATCAGATATCCAACTGAAATCAACCTTTTTCGGCTGTACTAGTGATCACTATTCGAAAAAAACATATATATATATATACATCATGCAAGGAGGAACCGAACTCTGATAACAAGCGATATTAAACCGATCCAAAGAAGCAGAATACAACAAAATGTTTTGACATGTTTTCCTTTCCCAAAATTTCCCTCCCGTTCTTTAGATAGACGGGGAGAGAGCAAAATTTGTGTATTTAATATATGAAGGGAACGAAAAATTAAACTAATTCAGATTAAGGACTACCAATACATGCTTTCGGTCCATGGCCTTTGAGTACGCAACATTCTGGAACTAATAACCAAGTCCTCCACATCAGCCGTCATAGGCACACACACGTCGCTTTCAAAAAGCTATACGTATTTTCGAGCAAATGTAATTGATAACGCTGAACCAAATTAATCTAGAATATACTCGAATATAAAAAGGTCTTTATTAGTATAAATCAAAACACTTATAATAAAAATTATAATAATAACACCAATAACAATAAATTATTAAATAACTTTCTTAACGTCATTCTTAAAATCTCCATGCTATTTTCAAAGGTTTGAATACAAAAGTTATACCAGATGGGTTATTGATTTCTCGATAAAACATTTACCGGCATGAATTCGCATGCTGTTTTTACACCCGATGCATCAGAAAACATACACAAATTCACTGCCCCCAAAGTTATAGAAATGCATAATATATCCACACAAACACGCTCCTCCCTCTGACAACAGAACTCAGTCATGCATATTGTCAACGCAAGTACAACCTTCCAAAGGAAACAAGAGTCAGTTCGAGTGAAAATCAACAGCTTTGAAGTCAGAGCATTTCCACGTACATGGGAAAATAGTTACACAAGCATTCACAAACAATAAAACAGTGAACTCTTTGAAAAAGCTTTTGTTTAAACAAAGTTACTGTGGAGGGTAATCTCGGTAACCTCCGTCTGATTTTCAGTCTTTTGCACGATCAAAGAAGATTCAAATATTCTGTATGCATTATGAAGCAGCTTTGGAAGATAATCTGTAGCTTCCATAATGAATCAAGATTCCTTTGGAGGACATTGATCTCAACAAAACTAGAACGTACTATGAATTATAGATGAAAGTGAAATGCCGACGACTTAACCTATCGAATGTCAATACACTTAATCGTTTAGGGAAGTCAAAATCAGACCAAGCAAGACAGAAAAGCTTACTGCCTCCGACTTTCCCTTCTGCATATACAAAACGACTCGAAGCTCGTTAAACATTAACTTGACGATTTTTTCATCACAAAACCTTCAAATTACACAGTTTTGGCAACTATTCTCTACTTGTTGTAGTGGGTATATTGTGGATAAGCGGGTTAAATTTTCCTGACAGGCACTCTAAAGGCGGGCGTTTATTTCCACAAAACCCCAATCACTTAGTGCTATTGAAAATAGCTGTGAGATAACAAACACAGTACAATACAATATAATTATGCGTCATGGGCATTTATTGATAAATCCACATATCACTTATGCGCGCAAGATAGAAATGTGTGTGAGGAACAAATATCCGTCTGTCCTCCTCTATTCTTCGCTACTTTGTCCAGGTTTGTACGTATCGAGTCAGTCGCGTTTCTGATGTAAACTTCGACTTTACGGTTTTCCAATTCGTAGGTGACACGCCACTCAGAATATGAGCTCAGCCACATCACTTTACTTCACAGGAAATCGGTTGACGACTACGTCGTCT